GGGGCCCGTGCTAGCGCCGCGGCGTGAAGGAGGAGGGGGAGGACTACCGGCTGCGTCTCAAGGCTACAAGGTGGGAGAGCCACCCCGCGGCCCCGCCAGGGGCCAGGGGGGGCGGCAGCACTAGTTGGGCCGGCCGGCCACCCACCCACAGGTGAGTGCCGACTCTGGTGGGCGGCCGGCCCCCAAAAAGATTACTCACCTGCCGCGCAAAGCGTCCAACCCTTGCAGCTGCCGCAGGCAAACCACCGCAGTTCAAAGCTGCGGTGGGGGGGGGTGGATCGTGTGAGATTGTCCGTTCTCACCCCATGCATCGCACTTGCAAATGTGCACCCATGACACAGCACTCCACCCCCGCGCCCTTGCAACGAGGAGAGTGCCCACCCAGCACCAAACGCCGGGCACCTTCGTTGGACCTTGCAGCACCCCCTTTGCACGACGATTTGCCTGCGTTGTAAGAGCCTCACGATTGCAACACATCATGGGCAGCTAGGGCAAACCCACAAGCACGCCAGCGACGCGACGCTGCGAAATCAGCCCAGACCACGCCCACCGAGGCGCACGCCTCAGGCGCGCAGCCCAGGCCACCCAAAGCCTTCTCAGACCCTGCCCGACGCACCCAAACACCCCACAATTAAGTATTTGTGTCCCCCGTCGGGCCCCGCGCGCCCTCGTTGGGCCCCGCGCGCCCCGCCACCGGCGCTAACTTTCGGCCCCCCCCCCTTGTCAAGCGATGGATTAGTCAATTGGCTGGGTGCTGCATCGCAGTCACTTGGCTGCACTCTCAGCCTGCAAGACATGAGGGGATGGCGCTTTGGATCATATCATCCCAACTCTATCCTACAAAGCACAGTGGTGCCAACAAATGAAGCGGATCGCGACTCTCGCATGATCTCGACTGCTGCTCAGTGGCGCAAAGCACTAGAATGGCGCTCGAAGAAGTAATTGACACTCTGAAGCGCCTGCCAGAACAGCCGTCCCCGCACCCGGGTGGGGAGCTCGCTTCGCTGCGCCGCGCGATCGCGGCGCTCGAACAGCATGAGCAGCCGCTGCAGGCTGACGCGCCGCGCGGCGCTCCACTGCGGCCCGGCCTCGGCGAGTCGATCGAGCTGCTGGCCAAGGCGCTGCTGTCACCGCCTGAAGAGCTGTTTGCGGACCTCAGCGGCGCCCCGAAAGCCCCAGAAGGCGAGCTCAGACTTTTCTCAGCCTGTGGCATGTCGCAGGACGCCAGCCATCCAACCTGCGGCTGCCACTAGCCCGTCGCAGCTAGCGCTTGCTTGGCAGCACAATGTATCCCTGCCTGTGCTCCTGTGATCCAAACCATGGCAGTCACGTGGTGCTGCACCCCATCTCGGTCCTTTGAAGCGTTCTACGACAGTTGTACGCCACCCCTGCCGTTGCCCACCCCACAGGCAACCCCGCAGCCTACTGGGAGGCGACGGCCCTGCGCCTGCAGCTGCTGCGGGCGCTCCTGCCGCTGGCGGGGCCGTTTGCCTTGGAAGAGGAGGACGAGGCAGCTGCCTCGGGCGCGGGCCGGAAGCGCGGCGACTACACCGCGGAACCCAGGTGGGCAGGGAGACCGCCGCCGCGCTGCACGATGATGCATCATGCAAGAAGGGGCGCAAGACGTGGGGCCGTCTACATGCAGCCGTTTTCTCCACCCTAGATCACTGCATCTGATGAAGGCGTCTCTGCCTCACCGCCAGTGTCTCTCCCTTGCAATGCATCGCCGTGCCTGCGCACTGCAGGCGGCAGCCCGTGGTGGGCATTGTGGAGGTCTCACAGGACAGCGATGACGAGGACGACAGCGGCTCGGCGCGGCCCGGCGCCGCGCGGCTCGCGGCCCTCAAGCAGCAGCAGCAAAGGCGGCGCCTCGCTGCAGCCGCGCTCGAGGTCGCGGCACTGTATTCGGCCGGCGGGAGCGGCGGCGGCTTCGACGACGACGCTGTCAGCGACCCCGACCACGACCACGGCGGGGACCCGTGGCCTGCAGAGGCTGCGGCCAGAGACGCCTTTAGACCAGTTGGTGCGGCTGCGGCCGGGTGTGGGGACCAGGAGCTGGTCACAAGCGCGCCACTGCTGGCGCTGGCGCGCGAGACGTGGCTCGAGTCCCTCAGGCTCCCGACGCCCTGGGCGGACGCGGCGGCGGCGCGGCTGGCGGGGCAGCTGGTGGCCACGCTTGCGGGGCTGCTGGCGCAAAGCAGCGACGGCTCCGGCGGCGGCGGCATAGGGGGCGGCGGCGGCGGCGGCAGCGGGGCGCGGCAGGAGGCGCCGCCAGAGGGGCGGGCGCTGCGCTCTGCGGTGGTGCAGTGGCTGCTGCCGGGGCTGCGGGAGCCGCTGTTTGCGCCGCACCGCCACACGCAGGCGCAGGAGAGGGGCTCTCCAGGTGGGTCCTGTGAAGCATGCCACCCTGCCTTGCCGTGCTGCACCATCCTTGCATCATGCTTTGCCACATCATCCGGGACTGGCTGCGCTTGGCTGGCTGCACTAGTCACAATATTCCACGCCTCCCTCCATGACCCCGCTGATGAAGCCATCACTTCAATTTCTACTCAAACCCATGCTTTGTCTGCAGATGCGTACTCGGGTCCGGGGCCCTTCCAGCGGTCCCTGGCCGCCCGCAAGCTCGCCTGGGCGGCGCAGCAGCTGCCGTGCCCCCTTCTCACCGCCCCCGCGGCGGCCGCGCTGCTGCCGCTGGCCCTCGCGGCATCTGACGACGCGTCAGGCCCGGTGTCGCGCCTGGGGGCGGCCGCGCTGCACCGCTTGGCGGCCGCGGCGCCGCCGGGGGCGCTCGAAATGCAGCGGGAGCTTTTGCTGGCACGCGCGCGGCGGCTGGTGGTGGGCTGCGAGGGCGGCGTGTGGGGCAGCGCGATGCCCGCGGCGGTGGCTGTTGTGCTGGTGAGCGGGCGGCGGGAGATGACCAGGGCTCGGACTGGGAGGGCGAGGCGGCCGTTTGATGTGACAAGGAACGCCCTGATGTGTCACAGTGTGGACTTTGCGGCGAGCCGTGGGGACAGCGGGCCGGGCTGTGCCACGCGTCGCTTTGTCACAGCATTGGCATGGCACTGCTTGCGCGGGCTCTAAACCGACAACAGGCAAGTCGGTCTCGAGTCGTCCCAAACCCTGATACTTTCCTGCTACTTACCACGCTGACTCGGCCCCTGGTCCCGTTTTGCTATCCTTGTTTGTTCGCGCAAGGCGCTCGAGCCGCAGGACGACCCCCGCTCTGAGGCGCTGCACTCCCTGTTCAAGGAGCTGCTCACAGAGGCGGAGCGCGCCGCCCACAAACTCCCCCAGCGCCTGGTGTTCCTGGCCTGCGCTGCCCGCCTGCTGCCACGCCTGCGCCTGCATGCCGCGCGCCACTTGCCGTGTGCGGCGCCGCTGCTGCTCGAGTGGAGCGTCACGCACGACGCAGGGTCGAGGGCGGCGGCGCTGGGCTGCTTGGAGGCGCTGCTGCTGTGCTGCTGGCCGCGCGCGGCGGCACACGGCGCCGTGGTTTGGCGGTATCTGCTTGCGGCTGCGCGAGCTGTGGACTTGGATGGGTTCTGCGGCGATTGGGGGTCGTCGGCGGCAGCAGAGGGAGGGGGTGAGAAGGGCGGCGGCGGGCGTGCGGAGGGCGGCGACGGCGGCGCCGCGGCGGCTGCCGTGCTGTCGGCGGCGCGGCTGTTGCTGGCGATCTGCGGGCCGCAGGACCTGGCAGCTGCTGGGGGAGCTGCGGCGGCACAGGGCAGCGCGGCTGACAAGGCGGGACCTTGCGCTTCTGCGCTACATGCACTCCTGGCGCAGGCCTCGGTGTCATGAAAATGCCGGTGACCTGTCTCCAATTGCGCAGTGGTAATTTGTGCTGTAATGACCCACACAACGCAAACTTTTGGTTTGTAAATGCATATGGTTACAGGGGCCGGCGGGGGGTTACAGGAAGTTGGACGGGCTGACAAGGGTCTTGTATGCTTTCGCGTCGCATAACGGTAGGATGGAGGGTTATGGGCACGGTAGATTAGGATGCCTGTGTAGGGTGAGGAATTTGGTGAACGCAGCCGAGCGTATGCTGGGCCATTGAGGTTGCCGGGCCCGGTGGCCCCGCCTTGGGCGCGGCTTGGCAGGTTCTGGTGCTCATCCTGGGCAGGAGGGCCAGGGTGGCTGCTGGCGTGATGGGGGTGGTGGGGGTTTGAGGGGCTGCAGCTCAACAGCAAACAAGAGTCAACAACTCTCATCATGTACGTAAATACGTGGCATGTTGGCGGGTGTAGGTGGGGCGATAGGACAAGGGCAGACATGCACAGATTTCAACACAGGTTTCGTGGCGTTGGAGGAGCTGTTGGCTTTACTTGGCATGTATAGCTGCGCGACCGACTGACAGTTCTGGTGGCGGGGTGGTGATGGGCGTCCCCTGACACACATTTCCAGCCGGCCACAATGTGATCAAAACATGTTGCTGTAGCAAGGATTGTGAACTTCCACAGCTGCCAAAGCCAAGGGCATATGGAACCACCCCTGCCGTGACGAGCATTTCGCGAGTGCACTTTACACATCACCTGCAGGGGGGCGAGGCCTGCGCAGACCTGAGACGCCGCGACGATAGATTTTCGCCGACAAGTGCCTTTTCATCTTCAGAAAAGAACCCGCAGGCTGCCGACCCGCTGGCATGCCGGCGAATTGTCCCGCCCAGTACGAAAGCCCGCCCTGCATGCAGCCTGTCGCCCAACAGACCCCCCGCTGCGCGCGCCGCCCCAGCGCCGCCGCCGCCGCCGCCGCCGCGCTCCGCGCTATCTGTCGCACCAATGAAGGCGCCAACAGGCCAAGTGATGGCTGCCTTTGCCTCCGCACGGCTCGCCGGCCGGAACGCGGGCCGGCCGCCAGCCCCGCTGCCATCGAGCGCGCCATGCGGTACAAGCGAGCCGCCACAGGTCGCCGAAATGCTGCCGCAGCCCCTGCCGCCGCCGCTGCAGGCGCGGCTGCCCCAAGACCCCTGAGTCACGGAGGTCCACACGGGCGCCCTGCTGCCGTGCCACATCACCCTGGGCTCGCAGCTCAGTGGACGGCTGGCCGCGTCCACCAAGGCTGCGCCGCTGCCGGGCTCTCGCTGCAGTGAGTCCAGACACCGCGCGCTGGGGGGCGGCGGGCCCATGGGGGCGGAGCCCATGTACGCCGCGCCGCCTTGGGAGACGGCGTCGCGCCGCCAGCTGAGCAGCAGCCGCGCCGCGCCTCCTGCGCCGCTGCCGCCGCTGCTGTGTCGGTTCCCTCTGCTTCGCTGGCGCGCGGTCACAAAGTATGAGGGTGTGCTGCACGCTGCTGGGTGGTTTGCAAGCCATAGCTGAGGTGTCTGCACACCCCAGCCACAAGATCCACCTTGCTGCTGCTGCTGCTGCTGCTGCTGCTGCTGCTGCTGGGCCGTGCCGCTCCATGCTGACCACCGCTGCTGAGTCACCAACATTTTTGGTCCCTCCCTCAAACTGCTGTTCCATGTGCCGCCACCTTTTGGCAGGCAGTGGTAGTTTTTCGTGCAGCGCATGCCGTGGTGAAGGCCTGTGCAGCAGCAGGCGGAGCAGCGCCGCGACGTCCGCAGCGCGTGCTCCAGCGCATATGGGTCTTGCGTCCGCAACAAGGCGCCAACAGCCGTGTCAGGCAGCTGCTGCAGCTCCGGAAAGCGCCTCACCCACTCGCTGGCGCGAAACTATTGATTGAAGGTTGTGTTCGTGTTCGGAGGGAGGGGTTGCACACACACTGGACAGATGCGCACACACACACAAGCGCATGCCAGCTGACACCAGAGCTTGGTAGGAATCATAACTCGCTCAAACCTGTTGCACACGTTCTCGTGCTGACGCCATCCTCACGGACAGAGGTGCGGTCTCTCGTTGTGTGGCGGTTTTGGTTTTTGCGCGCTATCGGTGCGCTTTGCTACATTCTGCACACATTGTACAATTTGAAAAGTTGGTACGTCTGCTCATCAGATGACCGGGTATCGCATTGTACACGTGGTATGTTGATGCAATATTTACGGTATAGACAGCTGACAGTCTGAGCGGTATGTGTTTGTCTTCTACTGCGATTCCATCGGCTATGCCTGCGTGCAGTCCAGCGTCTGGCCGAGCTGCATGCTCATGGCGCCCACGCACACGCCGCCACGTCCCACGTGGTCGACCCCGGAACTCTCATGCACTTGGAGCACCACAACACCACACAAGACCAGAGATGTTTGAACCCAGGCAACACTGTCATGGGCAATAACGCACCTAGTGTCAAGCTTCCGCACATACAGCACCGCCGCAGGCGTACGTGGTTGGGGCAAACGGAGGGATTTCTTTAGTGGCGCCAAGCCCACGCACCGCCCACGGCGGTGCCGCTGCAGCCGCAACCGGCGGCAAGCAATTCAACCGCAGGCATTAAGAGAGCGGTGGGCGGCAATGTAATATCGTACGCAGGTCCCCAGCTGCGAGGCCGCGCCCAAGCGAGACTGCATACCAACGAGGACTGCCCCAACATACCGCAATACGCCGGCTACGCCCCTGCCAGTCCGCGGCAGCCGCTACTGCCGATTCCGCGCCGCTCCGAGCGGCGAGTCGCGCATCGAGCGGAGGCACCTCGCCCGGACCGTGCACGTGTGTGCGCTTTTGGACGGCATCCCAGGTCTGCTGTGACCATGTCAGGAAACATGCCGTTCGCTCATCTCACCGCTCACCGCTGCCTGAGCAGGCGCTGAGGTATGTGTGAGCCCTCCGCACCACGCATTCACCCCAAGCCGCATGGCAACGAAGCATGCCCCCTGCGACGAACGTCCTGGGAGGCGGCCGTCGTGGCGGCGCGCTTCGGCACGAGCGTCGGCGGGGCTGCTCTTTGGGTCCATGATGCCACAGCTACAGTACAGCACGAGTGCAGCGTCCGCGGCTGCAGCACGGGCGCAGACCAGCCTCATGCTGGCCGCTGGCGTGAAATACGCACATTGGCCACGCTTCATGAGCTCATGCCACGTGGCGGGCCAACAGCCAGTAGGGGTGCACGCGAGGGCCACACGGGGCGGGCCGGCCGCGGAGGTACGCGCCCAGCAGCACGCGCCCTGTGGAGGGTGAAGGTAGCCCAACACCAAGTGGTACAGCTCAGGTACGTAGCACGAGCAAGGGTAGCGCGAGCAAGGAGCAAGAAAAGCAGCACCACTGGATGGCATCTGGGTTGTCCGACTGACTAAGCCTTAGTCAGAGGGAGCACACCCGGGAGCAACAACAGAGTTGGCGGCACTACGGTACAAGATTATCCAGAAGGGCAAACGATTCCGCCGCTTTCGCTGAACTGAAGGAATCCAACAGGTGTTGCAGTGATTTGGCAGCAGTAGACAATGGGTGGTCCCCAGCTCGGCACAGGGTCTTTGGGCGCCTGATGGACAGCTGCTCACAATGGTCAGATGGAGGGGGTCAGCACAGCCTGAAAGGATGGGGAGACGCCGTACCACCGTGCAATGTGCCAGAGCTACGATTCCTTCTGCGCAGACAGGCAGCCTCAGCAGTGGATGAGGAAGCCAGCATCTTTTGATTTCCAAAGGCAGGGGAGCAGGATCAGGCGCATAGAGACTGCCTGCGGCAACAGCAAGCCTGCTGGTTGACCGTCAGGTGTGTTAAAAATGCATGCGCATCGTATGCAGACTATAAATATGTCAGCAGGCTGTATGAAGCACTCCTGTGTGCTGTTGTGATCCGATTGGGCTGGCTGCTGGGGAGTATCTTTGAATCTTGGGCTGGCCACAGGTCAGCAACAGCATGACAACGGACACGGCGCGGCTGTGTGTGCCGCCGCTGCACAGCCAGCAATGCGTACAAAATCAAGCTCAACCCGCACGTAATCGAAGCGCCCGTGGTTCTGACCAAACGCTCAAAGGCCAGGTGCAGCTTCGTAACACCGCGTGACGACAGGCGAACCTGCTAGCCCAAAACGATCCCCAACTTGTTTCTCGCGAACACATTTTGTCTCAGTATTTCCTCCCCTGTTGCACACGGACCCCGCTTACGAGACATATAATCAAAGGTGGGCACAGTCAACTTGTGGTTGTCAACTCCAGCACCGGTGCCGCCCGTCGGCCTCACGGCCTCAGCCAACCGTGTGCCTGCGGGTGCTGTTGGCCAATAACTTCAGGAGTGGCGAGTCTGGCAGAGCCCACAATCATCATAATCACATCTGTTGTTGTGGCTGACACCCCTGCGCGCCAACCCCCACCTCCACCGCTTCCCATCAACAATGTGCAGACTGGAGTGATGCCGCTCAAGATGCTGCGCCCAGCCCTTGCCCTCCTGCTGGGGGCGGCCCTGCTGCTCGCGGCCGACGCCTTTAACCCCACCGACGACAAGCCCAAGGGCCGTCTGCTGCTGTCCGAGCCCTCCACCACTACCGCCGGGCCCGTGCCCGCCGCCGCAACGCCCGAATCCTCGTCGGTGGAGCCAGCTGGGCCGCTCGCCAAGCCGAAGCCCAAGCACTCCCCTTCCGCGTCTCCGCACACCAAGCCCAGCCACTCTCCGCACCCCAAGCCCAGGCACTCCCCCAAGCACTCCCCCAAGCACTCCCCCAAGCACTCCCCCAAGCACTCCCCTACTGCGCCTGTGCTAACCAAGCCCGAGCACTCCCCCGCCGCCGCCGCCGCCGCCCCTGTCAAGGGCAACGAGGGCCGCCGCCTGCTTCAAAACATCCCTGTCGCCCCGGCGCAGTCGCATGCCCACACGGACCCGCCTGGGGCCGACCCGCCAGTTTACTTTACCGACCACAGGCCTCTCAACCACCCCGAGCACCACTGCGGCCGCCACCTGCGCGCCTCTTTCATGGGTGTGTGAGCACACTGCATGCATCGCCTGGGTTGCAGAGCGCTGAATAGGGGCCTGCAGGCGGGTTCCATGCACACTCGCAGCCCGGCATTTGATGATCAGCGCCTGCTGGGAATGTCCTGGCTGTGAACGCGGCGCTGCGTGCGATTTTGTATCCCAGCAAAAGCAACCATGCAGCCATGCATCTTGGCCCGTGTGCAGCGCGCACGCGCGTGTGGTGCGCTGTGATTGTGCGCAAACCGTGCGGGCGTTGCGTGCGGGCCAAGATGTCACGGTTGCCCTTGCCTCAATGGTTGTTGCCAGTACACTTATGCGCTTTGCAAACTCAAAGAGGTTTGTCTTGTGCGAGATGCGTGATCATATCTGTCGGCCAGTTGTAGTACCGCAAGTGGTACTAGCCTGGATCCAGGGCCAAATTCAAAGCACACCCACCCCACACGGTGGGGTTTGTGGAGCTTGCGCGATCACGAGCGAGCACCTCCCTCCAGTGAATCAATTAACACCTGCAAACGGGCATGTTCCCTGCTCCACCAAGCGCAGTCTGTGGCTATAGCACCACATCGGCTGTATGCATGCGTTCCACCAACAATTTGCATTGTCGTGCTGTAAACCGTATGGCCATGGCTCCTGCTGGATATGCCTCGGTCATGTTTGGTCATGTTACTTGCTGCATGCTTCAACAGTCCAAGACCAGTCCGTGTACATGGCCCCAACATTGTGCTGCTATGCAAAATAATTGAGCATTGTGTACAAGAATGGCACTTCCACTGAGCTTTGTGTGCGCAATAAGAACAATAAACATCTGTGACAGCGGCCATTCAATGCAGAAAGCTACCCTTCTCGCCGACACAAAGAAAGTGTGACGGGAGTTTTGATGTGCGCTATGTAGTAAAATTCATCATTGTACGCTAGTTATGGACGCAACGGCGTGCTGCTAGGCCCTGGTGTCGCAGGCTCGCTTGTATACAGTAGATCAAAATTACTGCATCACCTCTTCGTTTGTGGCCGCCTGATTTCTCCTCAAGTTTTGGCTAGCCCTCCAAGTTGACTGCGGCTCTCGTGGTTGCCGTCACATTCGCACACAGGCTTCATTCGGCTGTCCGGCAGCTGCACACACATACAAGGGGCACAGTGTTATTGTTGTGCTGCAAGCAGCAGTCCCGTGTCTCCTGTAGAACGGACAGGTTTCAGGGACTTTATCGGGTACCACGGACTCTCAGCACACCTTCGCCGTGATCTAGATCACTCCAAGTCGCGCCCAGCACCATGGCTGCACAGACCACGCTCACAGCTTTCTGGGTGGGTGCCTCGGCGTCTCATGACAGAGCGTGGCATGCATTGAGAGCGCCTGAAGACCTACACGGCCGCGGCCCCCGTGGAGCAGCAGCCGCACTTGCCCAATCGGACCTAGCCCTGGCTGGATCGGCTGTTTCGTGCCTGTCACGGCTTTGGAGGAAGCGTGATCACCGGGTGACCCGTGAACGTGCTGCTGCCCTGTGCTGCAGGTGGCGGACGAGTTCAAGAAGAAATATTACGACGTTCTGGGCAACAACCCGAGGCTGTTCATGCGCTTTTTCAAGGAGGACAGCACGCTGACGGTGGTGCTGCCCGGCGCGGACGGCCAGCCTCAAGCGCGCACCGCCGAGGGTCCCGAGGTGAAGCAGCCGCATGTGCACACTGGGAGTGCATAAACTGACCCACAGCACAATTGCGAGCTATGTGGAAGCATGCGTTGAATGTGCAGCCACCACACCTTGCACGGGCAGGAGTGCTGTCTGCGGCGCTGCGGGCCGGGCCCCTCCCCTTTTCCAACCACCCCCAACCGCAACGCCCCACTGCTGCTCGGCCCCCAGGGGATCCAGCAGCTGATGCAGTCCACCGTGCCCAGCGCAAAGGTCGCAGTGGAGGCGCTGCAGGCGCAGTACGGCGTCTCCACCGCCAGCCCCGACCAGCAGGCCGCCGCTGCGGCCGCGGCAGGCGCGGCGCCCAAGCCGTCGGTCATGGACAGGGTCATCGTGATGCACGTGGTCGGGCGCGTGGTGCTGCACGGCGAGGTGCGCAGCGGCCCCCTGCGCGGCACGCGCATGGCACCGCCTAGCACCGCCGGCCGGCCGCGGTGGTCATCCTCTATAGGTTGATGGTGGGGGGCCTGCGGGCGCCTCCCCCCTTTGGCATCACCCCTGCTGAGCTCAACCCTTGTCTCGCCCTGTGCACGCCCCCCTCCCTCCCCCACCCCTGTAGCGCGTCGAGCGCCGCTTCTCCCAGGTGTTCTGCCTGGCGCCGCAGACCAACCCCAAGGGCTACTACGTCAGAAACGACATCCTGACAGTGCACGCCCCAGACGCCGCAGCCGCCGCGCCGCGGCCGCAGCAGCAGCCCGCGCCGCCCGCCGCCGCCGCCGCGCCCCTGGCCAACGGCGTGCCCGGCGCGCCGCAGCAGCAGCTGCCGCCCCCGCAGCTCGTCGCGCTGGGCCTGCCGCCGGGTGCGCAGCTGCCTGGGGCCCCCGTGGCTGCGCTGCCGCGCGCGCACCTGCCCGTCGCGGCCGCGACAGGCGTGCCCATCGCCGTGGCTCAGGGCGTCCCTGTGCCGCACCAGGCGCCGGCGGAGCCCCTCGCCCCCCCGCCGCCGCGGCAGCCGCCG